GCCAAGCCATAAACATAGAATCTTGGTTGGCAATACGGTCGAGGACATCGTCAATATGTGCTTCTGAATCAAAATACGCAGGTTGCTTCCCTTCGAGATGAAAAGATAATCTCTGAACTGGTGTAGATCTATGTTGCAAAGGAAACTTAAAAATCCTCCAAATTGCCTCTGATGCTGATACATATCTAAAAATTTGCCAAACAAATTCCAGTTATTCACATTAGACTCCGCACACAATCAAAAAGATTTGATGACTATAGTTTAAGATTATTACCTGCAATCGAACCAGTCTTTAATTTCGTTCTTTTTTTTCTCAGTTGGACTTGATTCCTGCCCTGTAGTTGCACTTGAATCACTTGTGGCCTGATTAGCGGGTTCAACTATAAATGTGACACGATCTGGTCCTTTGTTTATATACTTAAATAAGTATTTTATACTCCCATTCTGATTGCACCATTCAACGTTGATATGAGCCTGATATCGGAGTGAAAGCTTCTTATTGTATGGAACCACATACCTGTTGTCACATTTAAAGCCACCCTTCTCAACATAATCAGCTGTTTCCCTTCTTCTATAGATAGGGTAACCGTCACTTCCAACCTTAGTGATCTCTTGGAATTTTTTAGGATAATGCTTCGAGCATGATCCATCAACCATACACGGAGAATTAGGATTTGCTGCACCACATGGACCGTGTATCATAGAGTTTTTGATAACTTCATATAGTTCTGGTTCCTTTTCTTTATCTGGAATCTCAGCAGAAATCATCTTGTCGATGTCGTCTGCTGTTGGGAGCTTACTCTTAGCATCCATAAAGAGCAAAATGTGAGCATGTGGTAACCCTCTTTTCTGAAATTCAACGGTATACATAGCTGCAAAACATTTATGGAAAAACCACCCGAAAATTAGTCTTATTAGTTGAAATATTAGACGCTTACATTTAAATAAAAGAGATCACGTACATGCTACTGCCTTCCCAAGCATTTTCCTTTCTGTCAGGTCTCTCATTAGAGAGTCCAACTTTATCTTGAATATCCTAGCAACAATATCTGGTCTGTCCTCAGCTGTTAACCCTCGGGTTTGGCAATATCTCGTTATCTCTGGCCATTTAGGGTTACATGTGAATGTGATAAATAGGTCTGGGAATCCGTAATGCTTACAGATTGCCATTGCGTCATAGTAAATTTGAACCATATACCGAGGACCACCCGTGAAAGAAGTAGGAATCAGTAATTGGTTACCTTCTTCACCCAATGAGGTTGTTCCTGATTCAGCTGCTTTTTTGATGGAGTCAAAATTCTCACACCGAAGCTTTGACTGGTTAAATTTGATGTACGATAGCCGGTTTGATTCTATTGTGGTGTAAGCATCACACAAAAACTGCTGAAACAACCTCTTTGAACGCAAAAGTGTATGACACTCGTTTTCCCTCTCTTGTAACCGGAATGCAAACCATTGTCTCATGCTGATGCATTTCTTCTTATTCTTCCTTGTTTTTGCTGGAATATTGCATTTTTCTATCCCAGGTCTATAGCCATCTTCACCATAGCAGAAAATTAGAGGATATTGTAGTGCTAAGTAAGATATATGAATTTGGCTTATCCTCTGTAAATGACCAGTACTCTTTTCTTGGATAACTATGTCACGGTCAGGCATTTGTTTGATGAAATCTCCTGGAATTAAAGCAGCTACTTCTGATGAAGTAGGTATACTATATGTCCTTCCATCTACACCCTTGCGATCTGCGACAATACGCATGTGGAAAGGTTCATCATTGTTAGATTCAAACCTCTCTCTCGCGGACCTGAACGTCTGGACATAAGGATTATGGTCGTTAAGCATTTCTATCAGTGCTTCAATGACTTCCTTTTTTAGCTGTTTTCTGGCTGAAGTTGGTGCAACATTTTTACCCTTGCTACACAAAGTTTATACAATTATCAGATTAGTTAGTGAGATTACATGAGAATCTGTTATTGAGTTAAATATCGAAATGGTATAGTAGCTTTATTACCTGATGACCGTAGCTCGATTATCGACTTCGTTCTGAGTATCCACAATATAGAATTGAGAATATTTAGCATAATCTCCCGCTTCAGGCTTTAAACTACCAATCAAGTGATAGTTTCCTCCTTGCAAGCGAAATGCTGTAGGTCCTTTGCCTTTTGCTACAGATTTGTCAACTTTCCCCCCTAGTGATGTCATTGCAAAAATCATATTAAAGATTCGCAAATTATCTCTAAAATGTTTGCTGAGAGCATCATCACCACTTAGAAGCTTCTTTATTAACTCTGGAGACTCTTTAAGAAAGGGCAATTTAACTTGTCCTTGTCCACAACATAGTGTGAACGTTGGCTCCTCCTGGTTGCGTCTCTTGCGAATACGCTCATCATACCACATCAAAGCACCACAATGTTTACATTTGTATGTAGCATCTCCATGATCAAGATAAGCTGTGGAATCAAGTTAAAATTAGTATCTAATTTATCTAGATGGGTTATATATAGTATAACCCAGCACGTGTATGTCATAATGATAAAAATTTGTAAACCTTTTTGGTTTGAGTTGCTTGCAGCCGTGGTTGCATTTTTATTGAGTCTTGGTCTGCCTCTTTTTTTTTTAAGTGGAGCAGTTTCATTGCTGGCAGCTTTGTGTGTCGTTTTGTCCGCTATTTTACCAAGTAAGGCCATGAATCTGACATGGTCTTGTGCTGTAATACATTCTTGTGTTATAACCTTCTCTTGGACAGTATCAGAACCTCTGATTGCAATTTCAGGTTGAACTGAAATGTTAACTTCAGCCGTGTCATCTTCAGTTTCATATTCTGATTGACTAAGATAGTAATCTTGTTCGACCTCTGATTCACTTTCATTGAATATATTGTTGTCAATATCTTTGTAACTTTCCTCAGATTATGTGCTACTGTCATTGAGGTCATCTCTTAATCCTGGACCTATTTATTCAATACGTTTTACAAAATTAGCATGATTGTTAAGACATTTGTACTTAATTAGTATTAAAATTGAAGTGCATGAATCAAGTAAAATCTTACCTTGGCAATCAGTAGAGACAGATGCAGTTTCAAAAGCTTCAGACAGATTTTTCCTAGGCAACTTGTTAGCTTTGCTAAGGTTTACCCGTGTATTGACATTGGTAAGACACGATCTCCCCAAGCCTCTCCGATTTGCTGCAGATTGAATGACCATGTCTGTATGTTATATATTGAGCGGGCATGAAGTTTGTTTTAATACCACTTCTCAAATTAGTAAAACTCACCCTCACTTTCATTCAATACAGGTGTGTTGTATTTGGCAGACAGTGTAGCTATGGTATCAACGGGAGTAGCTTGGTGTTCTATATTGGTTATGTTTTGAAGCACAGGAGTGACAAAATTGTTGGTATTTAAGCTACCATGATTGTCGAATGAAGACGTGGATAAGTTTGAGCCTGAAACTGGGAAGTAAAAGATTGTTTTCAGTTTGAAATAAGCGTTTCATATACTAATCAATACTAACATGAGAACAGGAAAAAGTCAGGTGAAATTGTAAAAAACAATAACCTAGTGTGATGTGTGTTGCAGGAGATGGATGGTGAATAGAGGATTGTGTGACATCCAGCCGATTGTTGCTCCCACTTAGGTTGGTAATATCGCAAAGAACTCTATTCAAAGCATTTTTAAGTGTGACAGAACCAGTAGGTGTAGCCAATGTAGATGTTGTTGGTTGAGTATGATTAGTTGGAGGTTGTGTAAGTCTCGTTCTTTTAGCAGATTTGTGCTGAGACTCATCACTTGGTTTATTGTTTTTCTTATTTTCCTTCATCGTTGAGGTGGTCAGAAAGTTGCTCTCTAGAACATGTTATTTTAGTAGCAGGTCGTAATGACTATAGATTTGCAGTAGTTAATTTCTCCTTGATTTTAGATAGCAGAGACAATATTCTTCTTTGTTTTCTTTAAAATATCCATATAATTATATAACAAAGTGCTGGTTTTAAGGGATTCTCAGGCAATACAAATCAAAATAATATATCTTATATAAATGCTTACGGGATTTTGCTTTCAATTAGTATGCAGGAATGTTGTTATGTGGTGGTTGTGTCTAGCAGCATACGATGCTAGTGTTTGAAGGTATTGTCTGTTTGGCAAAGTTAATATGGAATCTGTTTGTCAAATTACATGCTTACTACTTTGTGCCTTTTAAAATCATGAAATCCATAAGTTCTGCATTTTTTAAAATATGAGGAAAGAAGCAGAAAACACGTACCTAGAGTGAGCTGATTTAAATTAATGTTGCATATGTAATTTAGTATTTTTCTCTTTAAATTTCAGATTCGAAGAAGAAGGATTACAATGAAGATATAGGCTATAGACATCGAGTAAAAAGGTAAAAATCATGGTTTCCTTTAATGTTTAAATATCTTTTTTTGGGTGATTATACATTTAGACACGTTAACCACTTTCAAAATATAAGAAGTGCTTAGAAGCTTAATACATCTCTAGTAATATATTATTGAAGTCAACAGAAAATAAGAATATGGAAACTTTATTAATAAACTTGAACATAAAATAGGAGTGTAGCTAAACTACACTTATTCAAACAAAGGAAATGAAAATGAGTTTGAAAGTTTAAAAAACAGATTGAAATAACCAAGGAAGGCTTTATTTGAAGCATACAATAGTGACTGCAGGACCCTTACTTCTTCTCAATCTTGACCTTCACTCCAACCATAGCTCTTGGTCCAGCATTGTCTGCTTTGTCAATAGTGGTTCCGATTGTTTCGCCCACATTTTTACCAAGGTCCGCTTTTGTCTCAATCACACCTTCAGTCTTTGATTCAACACTGCTCTTGTTCAGTTCTGCTTCATTTTTAAAATCAGGATTTACCTTTTCCAAGTCTATTGGTTCAATACACGACTTCTTAGAAGTAGATGCTTGGTCCACAGGTCCGTCCTTAGAACCATAAACACGCTTAGAAGAAGGAGTCATAGAATCTGGTGTTCCTTGAGTATTTTCCAACATGAGAATGCCCTACGAATTTCATAATTAGTATAAATAGAATGTATAACTAAACATTGGTTATTTTAATAAATTAACATTGAAGATATAGTTGTTGTAGTGAATAGTTATATGAATATAACCTTGTCTGCAGATTCAATGGAAGTTTCTCTGGACATTTCTGTAGAATACTCCAATAACTCTTCTGGTAGTACACCATGCTTCAACAGAGCCTTAGAAACCCTGTAGATATCTTTCCCATCCCATATATTTGCCCTCTCGATACACACCAGAAACAGAAAAGTTTTCCCAATAAGATTTTTAAGGGGATCTGGCAAATTGTCTGGATCCTCAATCTGAACATTAAAAATATCAGAATTGATTTGTAACACATTAGAGATAATACCACGTATCTATGACTTTTAGCGTAATATAGCTGGTAGTAGTTAACCTCATCAACAGAGCCGTCAAGAACAGATGGAGCAGACTGCCCTATTATCTCCGTGCAAATAGAGTCAAACAATAACAATTTCAGCTCCCCAGTGGTGTCCATGACATTAGCATAAAGCATAAACCTAGCACATAAACATGTAGATTATTGAATTAAAATTTTGTTCTGGAATAAACATGTCCCTAAAAATCTAGTATGATATGTTAATAATAGTAGACATATAGACAAATATACCGTGCTACGACATTTGTAACAACACTCTTGCAGGTATCACACCAGAATCTTGGTTTGACGCCTTTGTTATTAACTCCATGTACACCAGAATGGATGTGGTTAACTTTCTTATTGCATGACCTACAACTTATGTAGTACCAAGCCCAGTCTGTATCAATTCCATAGATTGTACAGAGTAGTCTAGCCCTGCCAACCTGTGAATTAATGAAGTTATCAAATATATACGAACTATTACAGAAAGAGTTAAAGTTAATATTATTTTACCTCTAGGGAATTCTTGATTTCCTCAATAGTTCTCCTGGGGACATCTTGGTAATCCTCATTGTTTACCACAACCAACTCCATTCTTGGACGCCTTTCTCGGGGGACCAATACCAAACCATCTGTAGGCAGCCTAATTGATGTTAAGTTAGTATGGTTAATTTTTTGCGGTTAAACATTGTAAATTGCAGAGTTATAAGGGGATGATAAATATAGTAGATAAGTTTAGAAAGTATACGATTCTCTGAATGAGTCGACTTCAGGGAAGGGGGAGTTGACAAACACTTGTGAAGTATCATAGGAATTTGTTACACTCCTAACACCTACAATATTAATTGGTTATGTAAACGTTATAGCATAAAGAGTAGCCGATCTTGTGAGTAGTATTTAGGTTAAACATCAAGTTACCCTTGTAAGCTTTAATTTTCATAAATCTGAGGATGACTATGACATTGCTTCCATCTGAATTTTCGCAAGCTCTATGTACCTGCTCAGCTAAGGTTCCCCACAAAGTACACGCCATCCTTTCATCACTGTTATCATCAATAATAATGCAAACTTTGAAGATACAAAGTCGGAGCATAATAATATATTGTTAGAATATAAAGAGTATGTAAATATATAAATAATGCTCACTTTTCGTCTCTTATTTCGAAATCGATTTTGCAGGTTGGTTTGTTGTTAGCCTCGAGGTTCTCAAGTTCTCCAATAGTTATTATCTGGCCAATTACATCTGCATCATGGAAGAGGTAAACTTGTGGGTTAAACATCGTTTGTTAATGTTTAACTAAGAGACTATATAAAAGTAGTGACATATAAATAGAAACTTACCAACCAACATATGTGGATTCAGTTCTCCACTTTGTATCTTCTGATACTTTGCCAACGACAGAAAGGAAGAATCTGATTTGGGGTCACAATGCATGACTACAGTCCCAGGGATGAAAGCCATCTTATAGAGATGGCTGGTTGGTCTGTATTGGCCGGTGGCATAGTTAAGACCGAAGTTTTCAATGAAAACCCAGTCATCAATGTGCAGCCTGTTCACATAAAGGTTCACCAAATCCTTCCTCACGCTAGCGTGTATCTTCTTACCCTATAAATGCAGTAAGTATTATTAAAATGACAGAGACGACCGATGCAACATGGAAGCATGATTTATTAGAAATTAGTAACTTCCTTACCAATTCATCAGAGAGTACCATCTCTAATGTTTCCCCTGTTTTTTGGGTGTAGTGACGCCATGAATGTAGCATCTTAACCTGAACTCGCCACGCCGTTTTGTATGGCCTAACATCCTTGAGGAAAGCAAATGACGCTGCCATTTCAATGAGTCGTGGTATTTTTGATTGTGAGAGTGATTTGGTTTTCTTTTCAAAGCGTCATATATATAGTAGAGCATAGAGTAGGTTTGGTTGTTAAGATCGTATTTGAAAGATGAATATAGGATTTTTATAAAAAGCGAAATCTGTGGAATATACGAATCAAAGTTGATTTGATTCTTTTGTTTTGATATTTTAAGTTTCTATAAATAAACAAAATCAGTTGAATCCGATAGCAATCTAGCTATATCTTCGGTGATATTTAATTGTGTTAGACATTTTGTCGATTTAAAATTGATTCTCCTAAATCATAGCAACACGGTTTATGGTTTAATCATTGCCGATTTTGTGGAGATATTGGTGTAACAAATCATGTTGGTTTTTGTTTTTTGGTAAATGTTTTCAGTCTAAATGAATTAAATGGCAATGGCATTGGTTGTAAATACTGTTCAAACCCAGGAATTATTTCAAAACATGTCCCAAAAATGTTAATATAGATGTATAACAACGGATCCATTCATTAAAATTAAATTTTAAATTTTCAAACTCTAAACTCTAAATTCTAAACATTAAACCCTACCCCCTAAATACTATACCCTAAATTACAAATAATCAAACCAAAACATAAGATTTAAAATTCCATACCATTGAACAATAATTTGATTTTAGTGGTATTTTTGGAAAGAAAACCAAAATGATGGTATTTTGAGGAATTCGTCTTCCTTATACAGTATTCTATTATCATGATGATAGATAAATATATTATTGCAGTTTCATAGTCGTCTTGATATTTTCTTATGAGTAGCAAATTTCAACTTCAACTCAATAATATCATCAGCCAAATAAATTCTAGATCATCAACCAAATAGTAGCACTTTTGAAATACTCACAGCTTTGTCCAAAATTTAATAGTTTCCCAACTTATATTTAATAATTTAAGGTAAGCAACACATTTTACATATGTAATTATAAATCTACTTGAGCTTCTTTTTTTTTTCCTTCAATATACTAGAACTTCTATTTACAAAAAATAGGTTGGTAAGGTTGAACTAATTCAAAAATTTTAATCCATACACTCAAAATCATAAACAATGGTGGAGTGGAGACAGACTTTTAATTCTCATATGTAAAAGCACTTGTATGTCTCATACTCAATAAAATTGGAAATTTGTATGCTAGATTAAGAAGCATGTAATTCACAAAATTAATAAGAGAACCATCAATAGCACGACTACATTTTAACCAGTGGAAATGTATTTGATTGGTAATTTATATGCATGTTAGAAAAGTAACAAATCGTTCTGATATAAGATTAAACAATGCAAACTTAATATCACAAATAAGAATAATGATAAACTGCTATATATTACTCTTTGGCTTCGAAATAGTGCTAACATATGACAATTGTTTATTTCCATTGAAAATTTGGATTTAAGTGACTTGTGTACAATATATTTTGTTATATGTTATAGAGATGTTATCTTGCAATTATAAATTTTGAGGAATATAACTAATATGGTTGTTTAGGATTTATAGAGGTAATTGCATTTATAATTGAGAAGAGCTTGATGGCGGATTCTAAACGGTCAACATCTAGTTTATAGAGGTAAAACACCAACAAAGTTATTAGTTCATCTGATTTGTAACATGCCCTAAGATGGATAACATATCTAGATAAAGCAATTACATGAGATGTTGCCTACATCTTAGGGCATGGGCATCGGTGGTTTCGTCCCCAAATTTTTTTTTTATTTTTAACTTTTTTTTTAAATTTTTTTGATTTTTAAAAAAATAAAACAATAGAAAGTAACCAATTGCGGGCCGCCACGTGTCAGTGGGACCCGCGATTAATGAAGGAAAGAAGCGCGGGACCGTCCCGTTTTAGTTAACGACCCTTCATTTTTTTTCGAAATTATTTTTATAAAAAAATACATAGGATTTAGCATAAGTATGCCGTTGCAGTCGCTCTTAGATAAATATAACATCACATCCTGCACCAGATTTGAGCCTCGCTTTAGCAACTAAACACTTCCCTAATTTGCATAAGTGTCATGGATCATTACTTGGTGTGCCTGGATTTATGGGCCACAACGTTCGGAAGAAAATGCAATAGAAATCTTTTAGCATCCTGTGTTAGTGAGAAATTTTGTAGTTACACTTGAAAAGAGAAATACTTTAAACTTGGTTTAAAAATTTTAATTTCTCTTTATAGGTGTTTTACAAAGACAAAACAAATTTTAAAAATTGGATTTGTGTGACTTTTGTACAATAGATTTATATATATTTACGCTGGTAGATAAATGAGATTTGATGCAATGTAAAAATTAAAATAATATTCGATATTTGTATTTTATACATTTTATCATCATACTTTAACCAGGATTTTATAGGACATCTAAAACAATTTCATAGACAAATTTAACTATATGGATAAGTCATAGTACATAGCACATTAATTTTTCAGATTTTTGGTTTGTATATATCTTTTCTGGCATATATCATTTCAACTTTTGTATTACAAAAAAAATCATATTGTTGCTTGGTTAGTGGTTACTGTTATTAGGGATATCCATACAAAAATAACTGAAAACCAAATTTTAAGAGAAACAAAATAAAATAGAATAACAATATAGAATAAAAAGCTAATAATAAAGTGAAACTGGAATCCACTATCTATGTATATGATGTTTCGGGGCCGAAGAATCTCACCAATAGTTAAAAAAAGAAGAAAGAAAAATCTCAACAAATCCAATTTATTTATGGACTTATTAGGCCAATTGCAATTATGGAGAAAATATAAAGTTCATAAAAAAACATTCATATTTTTGTTGATTATGTTACGTAACACATTTCAATGCAGTCCATATGAAAAAGACAAAGACACTATCCATAATACTAAATTCTTTTTTTTTTTAAACACACTTACAAAAAAATCTTTATAATAAAATGGAATAATGTTTCTTAAAGAGAGGAGCATAAATAAATACAGAATCAACTCTTTCTTTATTTTATTCTTGTTCCATTTTGACGATATTATTATTATTATTAGAAAAAAAATATTAAAATTTCTTTGTCCGGAAAAATAGAGAAAGCAGTCTGGTCTGGTGAGAGAGTTTGCGTCATATTTGATTGAGTTTAGAAAAGGCCAAACAAGAAACCAAAACCCATCATTCCTTCTTCTCCTTCTTCTTCCTCATCGCCACCGTCTGAAGCCACCGAATCAGACTTTTTGATTCACGACTACGATCAAGCATTGTCTTCTTCCGTTCGAATTCTGAAAATGGGTGTTCAATAAAACTCGCATTTCTTGATTAATCTCATCAAAATTTCCCATCTTTCTATTCCAAAATAAATTCGACTCAAGGAGGAGAAGATAAAGTTCGCAACTGTTACTTTCCTCTGTTTCTTGTTTTATGGTTGAATTGTGATCTTTCTTTGTTGTTATATATATATTTGTTTATTTGGAATTTTCTGATCTAGTTAATGGCTGCGATCACTGAGATGCCCACTGATTCAAATGAGGTCATCACCGACGATGGTGGTGACGGAATTGAGAAGAGCTTGATGGCGGATTCTAAACGGGAAACCGAATCGGACCTCAAACACAAATCCAAACCGGAATATGATCAGATGAAGAAGCTTGTGGCCATGCTCAAGAAACTCAATCCTCAAGCTAAGGAATTTTTCCCTTCTTACAAGAAGAATCTCTCTTCTGAGGGTTTTGAGGTCGCTAAGAAGCCATCTGGTGAAGACAACAACAACAACAAAAAGGATGGCATTAACCGGAGGGTACACTTTTTTTGTTCTGTTTCTCATTAATGTTTTGATTGAAAAGTTTGGATTTTTTTGGTTATTGTTGAATTGTTGTTGAAACTGTTAATGGTTTAGGTTGCCTTCATATGATTATCAGATGTTGTTTCTCAATTGAGTTCTTTAAGCTGGAAAGTCTCTAGCTTGAAGGTTCAGACAGAGAATTTTGCTTATGATCTTGTTTTGTTTGATTTGGTTGCCCTTAAGTTACATTGTCAAGTTTTGAAATTGTTCTATGATCTTTTAACATTTCATCAATTAAAATTTGGTTGACTCTCTGTTTTTTGTTTTGTTGATTACAGAGAAGAAACAACTTTAACCAAGGGAGGAGAGTGAGGTTACCTGGAAGAGCGTCTAAGGCTCAGAGGGAAGATAGTATTAGAAGAACAGTGTATGTCTCTGACATTGATCAGAGTGTAAGTTACTTAAAGCCTCTCCTTCTTCAGGTTTCAGAAAAATAGTTCAATGTTGCATTCATTATTTATCTATATATTTTCTTTTCAATTAGGTGACTGAGGAAGTCCTTGCTGGCTTGTTCAGCAACTGTGGACAAGTGAGTTGAACTCCTTTAATTTATTGCCGGATGTTATCTTATGTTGTTGAAGTCGTAACATAGCATTCTTCTTCTGAAGGTTGTTGATTGTCGAATCTGTGGAGATCCACATTCAGTTCTTCGCTTTGCATTTGTTGAGTTTTCTGATGACCGTAAGTTCAAGCTATTGGACTATTTATAATCTTCTTTACCAAACATTTCTCGTGTCAAATTTGACTTACATGAGTACGATTTTCTTTGAAAAAAACAGAAGGTGCACGAGCAGCTTTAAGTCTCGGTGGAACAATGATTGGATTTTACCCAGTTAGAGTCTTACCTTCAAAAACGGCTATTCTTCCAGTGAATCCTACATTTCTCCCCAGGGTAACTAGAGCTTCAAAAACTGCTATCAATTTTGATTCTAGTATACAGTTTTAGTACTAAAAATTTGTGGTTTCCACTATTTCTTTTGGTGGTTTATCCAGTCAGAAGATGAAAGAGAGATGTGCTCAAGGACCATCTACTGCACAAATGTCGACAAGAATGTAAATACCGTCTCCCAGTTTATGTTTATTATGCATTCATGTACTTGTTCCCAGTTTGAAGATATTCTTATAAACTGCAGGCCACTGAAGATGATGTCAAATCCTTCTTTCAGTCTGCATGCGGTGAGGTTAGTCTTGACTCTTGAGTCCGAAAATTACTATTTTCTTTTCTCTGAAACAAAATAATATCAAATTTGTGAAGCAATAATAACGCTCAAGTTCTTTACTTCGTCTATATACAGGTTACTCGCATAAGGCTTCTTGGTGACCAAATGCATTCTACTCGCATAGCTTTTGTTGAATTTGCCATGGTAAGCTCTTCAGATTCTGTAAAGACTCAGCTTTTGTGTCTTACTGAACAACTGAATATATGTTTGTTTTTGGGATGATAGGCAGAGAGTGCAGTTGGGGCGCTAAACTGCAGCGGAATAGTCTTAGGATCTCAGCCGATAAGGTACAACATGGTTCTCTTTTTGTAATAAACCTTTCATTGAATAGGCATTTTTTGTTTGATATGAAATATTTTGAATTCTTCAGGGTAAGCCCTTCAAAGACACCAGTGAGATCGCGAATCACTCGATCACCATCGCCAAACTAGGAGAAAACAGAAGCCAAGAATAGGCTTTGCTGATGAAGGAGAGTGATGCTACATTGAGTTATTTTTTTTTAATGTTTCAGTCGTCTTGATGATTCTAGAGCAGTTAATTTCCAGTTATGTAGTGTCTGGAAAGACACAGCAACCATGAACATGCTTCTTGAATTTCGAGTTCTTGTTCTGAGTTCTTAGACCTATTGAGTCATATCATCTTTCTCTTAAAGGAGTTTTTTTGGAACAATGTCTCTAATTATGTGGGGTTTTTGGATCGATGTAGAAGTATAATTTATTTTCGTCGGGTATAAAAACTTGGGGACCAAGTTGCAAAAGAAAATTTGGATCATTTTTGGTGAGTCTAATTCGTTTGTCACCTCTCGTTATAGGCGAATATGAATCATGTTTTGGATTAAGAGGAGGCTGTACTCCTGTTATGTGTTAAGCCTAATCACTAACTATTTGGGTTTTTGGTTCAATTGAAAAGTATAGTTCCTTTTCCGTCGGATATATAATCTCCAGGGACGAAAAGCACAAATATGGGATCACCTGAAACGGCGTCGTGGAAGAAAACCCCCATTTTCCGATTAAACACAGTAGTAACTCAAAACCCTCAAATCTTCGATCGCCATTGTTACAAAAATTCTTGAATTCGAAGAGATCTCTAGATGAGAGGTGCTATAGGAAGAAGGTTCTCAAACCCTAATGGCTTCACCATTGCATCTATAGTCAAGCAAACTCCATTTCTCACCCAATCCACATTTCATTTCTCCTCTTCCTCCGACTCCGCCGGCCGTGGTCGTGGACGTGGTTCCGATGGAGGGTTTCCCGCCGCTGGAAGGGGACAATTCGGTGTGAATCGTGAATCGGAAAAAGCTAGCGAACCGGTGGTTCCTGGACGTGAATCGTCATCCGCCGGAGGTTATGGTCACGGTCGTGGTCGTCCGATCCAATCTGATTCGATTTCTCCTGCGTTTTCTTCGTTTGTTAGACCTGATTCTTCTAGTGTTGGCCGTGGAAGAGGATCTGTTGGATCAGACTCCGTTTCACCTTTCGCTGCTGAACCTTCTCGCCATTCGCCCCCGCCACCGCCGCCACCGCAGCAACAACAGTCACAATCGCAGCAACAGCGTTCACAACCACAGCAGCAGCCGCGTTCACAACCGCAGCCCAATGATGAATCTCAGGGAAGTCCTGTATTTGTGAAGCTGCAGGAGATGAAGGACGTAACTTCGTCGCCGCCAGCACCAGAGTCTAAATCTGGTCAAACTGATCTACCTGATAATGTATTCAATGCATTAGGAAGTGAAATTCCACACTCAAGTGGAGCAGGTAGAGGGAAGCCTCTTGTGGAATCTGCTCCAATCCAACGAGAAGAAAACCGTCACATTCGACGTCCTCCGCCTCCACCACAGCAGCAGCGTTCACAACCGCAGCAGAAGCGGGCTCAAACGCCTAGGGATGAAACTCCCAGGCCACGATTGAGTGCGGAAGAAGCTGGAAGAAGAGCAAGGAGCGAGCTTTCACGCGGTGAAGCTGAAGGAAGCGGTGTGAGGGGAAGAGGAGGGAGAGGAAGAGGAAGAGGAGCAAGAGGGAGAGGCAGAGGAAGAGGTGGTGAAGGATGGAGAGATGATAAGAAAGAAGAAGAAGGTGAACAAGAGGCTATGAGTGTATTTGCTGGAGATTCAGCTGATGGAGAGAAGTTTGCTAATAAAATGGGACCTGAATTGATGAAAACATTGGCAGAAGGTTTTGAGGAAGTATGCGAGAAGGCATTGCCTTCTACTACTCACGATGCCATTATAGATGCCTATGACACCAATCTGATGGTAAAAGTTTCTTTGTTTTGTTTTTTCTATGATACGTCTAGAAAAGTATACAACTTTCTGCTGAGTATGGTGACCATGGAACTTCAAATATTATTAGGAACATTGAATTCTCGAGAAGCAATAGTATTTATATTGATTCATACTTTATAATGTGGTAGAATTGGTTGTGGTGGCCTTGACGTTTAGAAGTTTTTTTGACTTAATATGCACATTTTACAAAAGCAGGCCACCGATTCGTCTTGTAGGAATCTCAGATTTTTTACAGCCTCTTGAAGTTTTTGTTCTTTTATTGTGATACTGGTCTTTCAGCTGAAGGACCGATGGAAAAAAGTGCTCTTTTGTTGTTTGGCTTTGCATTCAAATCTATATAATTGGCTCTTAGTTTTCTATGTCTCTCTCATTTTCGCTTTGCAGATTGAGTGTGAACCAGAATATATTATGCCGGACTTTGGATCAAACCCTGACATTGATGAGAAGCCTCCAATGTCTCTACGGGAGTGCCTTGAGAAGGTGAAGCCTTTCATAGTGGCTTACGAGGGAATCAAGGATCAAGAAGAATGGGAGGTAATACTGTTGAATTTGTGACTTCTGCTTTTTCTAATCCATGCAATTTTTTATTTTTGTCTGAATCACACTTGAATTTCTCCCTTTTTGCAGGAAGCAATTAATGAAGCCATGGCACAAGCTCCCCTTATGAAAGAGATTGTTGATCACTACAGTGGTCCTGATCGAGTAACTGCTAAGAAACAGAACGAGGAACTTGATAGAATTGCTACAACATTACCCAAAAGTGCACCTGATTCCGTAAAACGATTTGCAGATCGTGCAGCTCTTACTCTTAAGGTTCGGTTTCTTTAGCCAAATCCTAAACCCTTCATCTAACATCACTCTCTTTTATCGAATATTTCTACAGATGTATTGATGTCTTTTGTGAAACTTTTGGCGATGCAGAGTAATCCTGGTTGGGGATTTGACAAGAAATACCAGTTTATGGACAAACTCGTATTGGAAGTGTCACAAAGCTACAAATAGATAACTCAGATTTCAAACGTTTTTAAAGCGTCATTGCCGGTTGAGTTTATATAGATCGTATTCTAGATCTTGCCTCTACTTAAAACGGTACCCATTTCTTTTGAACAACTACTCCAAATTTGGGCGTTAGCTTTTTTCGTCATACGCTATGAGGGTTCCCATAATAACGGCATTGTTCTTTCGATCTTTGTTACTCAAGAGATTGTATTGTATCCTTTTTCTTCAATGGGTTATAAACAGGTTTAAGCCTGATTTGGATTTGTGTAATTGAAAAGAGAATGATTCTTGACTGTTTTGGGGTTCTAGTGTCTAAGACATGCCTTATTAGAGAAGCAAAAGATAGAGAGCGTAGTATGTTTGTTCATTGAATTTCTTTTGTTCGAACAATTGCGTAGAGACAGATACGGTCACTTGCTATAATTGCAGACCGCTGCTTTAACGTTTAACCGTAAGCCACGATCTCGCCAAAACCCTTGAGAAATAAACTTCTGTGAAACGTAAGAGGTAATAAAAAGTTTAGTTGTTACAATTATTATAGAACGATTCTCTCAAGTATGTACAATTGTTAATATGTTATGATCAATAGTTTACTCAAACATTGTAAATGATCTTTTGTTTAAACTCTCACTATCACATGCATCTCTTACACTTGGAGCGCGTTGAGAGAAATTGTTGGCCAATATTTTCGCTAGTGGTAGACTTATTGGACCTCCAATAATGAATATTTGTTTGTTATCCGAGTATAGAACTCTACACATCTATTATCTCTATATGATTTTAGGAGTCTCAAAGCTTTTACCGGAGTTAGATTAAAATCAACAAAGTTCTGGTACCCCCTACTAAATGCTCATTAAGTAATCCTTCAGTATGTCACATGCATCTTCTACATTCATCTTTTAACTCTAGTAAGCTCTATAATACAGATACATATTAAAAATTAAAAAATGATTAAATGATATATTTTATCTCTTTTTTGGGCATTAGCTTTTTCGTCATACGATTTCAGGGCTAATTACCGTAGTAAAAACGGCATGCATTGTTCGTTCGATCTTTGTTACTCAAGAGATTGTATTTGACTTTGTATTGTATCCTTTACTCTTAATATGTTATAAAGGGTTTAATCCTATCTTTGACAATCTATATAATCTAAAAAAGAATGACTCTTGGCTGTTTTTAGGGTTCCAATGTCTATAATACATGCCTTCAGCTTCATAGAGAAGGTAGAAAAATCAGTGTTCGTTTGGTTACTTGCGATAATTGCAGTCTGCAGATGGTAGTGCGGTCTAACGACACGGTCTGAAAGTGTGTGCTTTCTTTTCCTTTCCTTTTTCCTACTTACTACAAGACAAGCATTGCATGCGTGGTCCTAGTTCTATCAATTACCACATAATGTTTATCTGATTATATATAGACATAAATATTCGTACTATTAACACAATTGTAGCTTTAACTAAATATATTATATATGGGATTACTATAGTCAAACGAGAGTTTATTCATTTCTCAAACATTTTTGCTTAGGTATGTAGATTTGAATGGATCTGCTATGTATTTTGAAGAAATAACGGCCACATTCGTTAGCATTTTGTCGAAATTTCTTCTGCAACTTCTTGTATATATTGTTTAAAGACAAATAGGTTATAATATGTCGTAATTAAGCTTTATATATTCAAAGTCAACGGCGATTTTAGAGATATCTACATATAAAAGAACATTTAATCATACATGTATATATGATCGATAGTCCTTTTTCATAAAACAAGGAAAAAAAAACATAGAAGCTGAGACTGAGTTTTACTATACGATCTTGATCGATGGTTCGTATGTTTTGCGGTTTCCTCAGCCGGAAGAAGAAAAAGCCTTCGTCATCTTCGTCTTCACCGTCGCAAGATATTAAAAAGGGTAAAACCAAAGAGAAAGATGGAGGTCTTCGTGTGATGACGTCAAGTAGTAAGACAAGAACTAGCAGGGCTTTTAGCCGTGGCCAAGGCTGCCTTTGTGGTGATGGTGCCGGCTGTGGAGGTTGCGGCGGTTGTGGAGGTTAAAACTATATTATATCGCTGTGTAATTAATAATGGTTTCTTTATTCGTGTGATCTTAACTTTTTTTGTATACGTGTATATAAGGTTTTGTTATGTGTGATCATCCTTTGTGAGTGAATGTATATAGATGCTCTACTGTATGATGAATCATGTCAGTTAAAAGTAATTTTGTAATTGTTAAATTTATGGTTTACAATTGGTTAAAATACACCCTCGCTAAATATTATACGCTCCAAGATAAACTTTCAGTAATATAATACGTCAACATTTTCATCAAAACTATGTGAATAAATTATATTTTTTTTTTCTTTTGAAAATGTGTATATGTAATCCACTAACGGTAAGTATATATGACATTTTAAAAGTATACTGAAACTCTTCCCAAATATTTACGAACACATTTAAAATTCAATTCTCTTTGACTCTGTTGATTTTAGCCGTTTCTGGCTTACATCGGAAAATTTGACTATTTTTTCTGGTTATATTTCAAATTTTTGAAGTATCATCACTAGCATATTTAGTAATTAACTTAACTATGAGTAATTTTTTTCTTGCCAATACGTTGTACAATGATTTTACGGTAGAGTATAGCATACATGTTTCAACGGTTATCAACTTATATATCATGTATATCTGTCATGAAATTTTGGATATTAGATGCAAAAGTTAATAATGCCTCTCCTTTTTATTTATTTGACCTAGATTTTTAGAAATAGAATGTTTCCAACATTTCCAGGATGCATGACTGAGGTGTTATGGACTGGGTATATATAAGTCGATCACGCTTTCTATGATTCTTAATTTGACGGGAAAAGCTTGCTTTGTCTTCGTACAAGCTGAATAATCTAATTTCACTATGATATTCAATTCAAAAAATTAAATAATGTGTATTATATATATCAAGTGTAGTAGACATGACATATATGAGTATATGACATATCTAATGATATTATTTAAATCCATAAATCTAAAAGTCATATTTCCATGGAATTTCAGTTATTCAGATATATCAGTTGGTTCTTAATTATTTTAGATTTAGCCTTATAATATATACATTTTATTCTTTCTTGAAAAGTTTAATCAACAAGAGTTATTCCATTTATTTGCTAGTAGCTAGTTTGAAATTCCACTGCAAATACGTGTGTATTCGTACGTCAGAATGTGTTTTGTGATCTGTCAATGAGCCTTTCAACATAGAACACACATATATATATATATATATATATATATAGGTTAGTGTAGTAAGTTTGTTTATGAAAGTTAAAGGTAATATAGGGGTATTTACTTAAAGAGGAATTCTTCAAAATACCATCATTTTGGTTTTTTTCCAAAAATACTATTAATAACAAATTATTGTTCAATGTTATGGAATTTTAAATCTTTGGTTTGGGTTGATTATTTTACAATTTAAAGTATAGTATTTAGGGGGTAGGATTTAATGTTTGGAATTTAGAATTTGTAGTTTAAAAATTAAAAATTTAATTTTAGTTTTGTGGTATATTTGTCTTTCAAATAAAAATGTTGGTATTTTAGAGATTTGCCCGGTTTTAGAATGTTTTCAAGATGTCCACCGCATGAGCATATGGAATTGTGTATTGACTGCGTAATTAAGTAACCGAGCTTTCTATTCTCCGTAATTTCACGGTAAAGGTTGCTTCGACTATTCAATTCTATTGCTAGGATCTCAATTAGATTTGACTGTATCATATCTACATTGTTTTTTTTGAAAAGTTAAATCAACAAGAACGGTTCCATTAATCATGTGCTAGTAGATTGAAACTTTCGACTGCAATTACTTGTACAATATATTACTATACGTCAGAAAAATAAATCATGTTGTAAGCTTATCTTTAAAGTCAATGTAAGACCTATCTATATATATGAATAGACAATATCTCATAATTAGCATCATTACATTTTCAGAAGAATTTAGAGAGACAAAATAAGTATCATTGCCATTATAACCCTTTATTACTACTAGGCCATCGCGATGGGTATTCTCTTGTGTAACATGTGCCACAAGGAGGAGGAGTCGACGTCGTCTCCCGCGGGAACAAAAGATGGAGGTCTTGTTGTCATGTCGTCTTCGGAAAAAAGTAAGACCAAAGGCTGTTGTTGCGGCGGAGGGGGTTGTGGCGGCCGTGGCGGTGGTTGTGGTGGAGGTGGTGGGTGTGGAGGTGGCGGCGGTTAGAATTTAGGGGGTTCGATCTGTATATGTGTAAGTAACTATATATAATGATTGTGCGTGTGATCTACTATATGATGCGATTGCTATGAACAAACTACATCTTTTAACTTTTAACAGTACTACTCTTGTGTTAATTAACTATAATTACTTCACGCCACGGCGTGCTAAAAATGTAAGAACATGAATAAAAGTATATATATATTCCTTCTATATTTGTAAAGAATTTTTAAATATAAATACAATTCTTACATACAATAAAACATATTTAAATGACCAAACATGCTCTTTTAAGTCATTTATATTTAACATAAATATATGTAACATACATGCATGATAACAAAAAACAAGTTATATTTTTGAAACCGTCATATGAAGTTACATTACTTATAAATCTACAAAACCTAAACTTTTGTGATATGGCATGGGATATAATAAGTACGCACGTAATAATATCCCAAAATTTACATTATTACAGAACCATGCATTTTTTTTCAAATTATGAATGTTATGATCAACTCATTATCTCTAACTAAAGCCTAAAAAATAAGGAAAAATTAAAATTCACTATGCATTATGTAATGGATCTCGTATACTTTCGAACGCGTGGAAGCAAATCGCGGCCAAAGATTCTCTTGTGGTCGACTTAATGGACCATTAATAATGCATATTTGTATGTTTTCAGGATACAGACTCTTTAACTTTAAATCTACAGTTTAGTAGGACTCTAAGACCATCCTCAATGGTAGGATGTTAGGTGTATCTTAGATGAATTAGGGATTTAATTTAAATCAAAAAGTTACTTAAAATCTAAGATATGGTATCTTATATAAGATACACAACAACAGTGTTAATTCACCCACATTCTTAAATGCTCGCTAATTATCTCATACATCTTCGTCTTTATATATTTGAACTCTTCTAACTTCTTCTATAGATATAATCACAAACTTTTTGTCATACTAGTACAATCGTACATCTCTACGGTTTTGTGGTAGCGGTTCATACAATGTTTTCCTATTGCGACGACAAGAAGAAACAACTTCAGCCAGCGGAGCTGCCCCAACCATCTCAATGGCAGCGGCAAAGTGTTAGTGCTCCTACGTATCACCCTCAGCCACAGAGTATCAATGTTGAAACTGGTACCATGGATGAGTTTTTTATTTTATTTTTTAATGATATATTATTATGGTTTTGAATATTTGATGATAGATTTTTTTTTCTTTCTGAAGATCACTTGCGGGTTAAAAGCGAGACTGTTGTGAAACCTGTTGTTCCGGTCAAGCCACATGCCGTAGTCCAGGCGCCTAAGACTAAGGCTTTGGTGAAGAAGACCCACAGTAAGAGAGACGATGGAGCTTTATTTACTGCGGCTTCTACTTCAACATTTGTTGGCGGTTGTGGCGGCAACGGTGACAGCAGTTGCGGTGGTGGCGGTGGCTGTGGCGGTGGTGGTGGTGGTGGAGGAGGAGGTGGTGGTTGCGGCGGGGGATCTTAAAAATGAAAGTTGTGTCTTAGTTAATAGCGTTATGAAATACCAAGTGCTAATAGCTCAATTGGTAAAGATCTCTGGCAGAAGCTTAGAGGTCGCCGGTTCGAGTAGCGCTTGGGACGAAACCATATAACATGTTTTGGTTTCGGACCTGAAGGAATGTATGGACTTTGGCCCAGAACCTCCTTGATTATTCAAAAAAAAAAAGAATAGCGTTATGAAATTTCCTTAAATTCTCAATGTAATGTGGATCCATGCATGGACTTTCTGATGTCCCGAAATAATGCATTGTAGGCAAGCACCTTCATATATATATTAATCTATATTTTCAAAAAATCATCATGCAATTTCACAAATTTTTCAACTGATATCTTTTCAAGAAAAAGTTGACAGCGGTGGTTGTGAAAAAGTTTTATATATATTAGTTATAAACTTATAATGTGATGATCATATTTGATAGTTCATATAGACCAAATAATTATATGTGTTTTATTTATTTATGCAAAACAAATATAATGACCTATATATAGACCAAATCATAGAGCTTAATTAATAATTCGAATTCTTGCATTGTATGTTAATATAAAACACAACCTAGCTAGTTCTTACATAATATTTGTAATTGATATCTTCAATATCCTATATGTTATGTTTACGACTGATCATTTTAATATATATATACAAATGTTAATATTTAAACATATAGAATACAAAAATACACAGATCGATGAGATATAATAGCTAGCATGGAATGTTTTATACAGTTTCAGCAACTTGGTTGTCCACACACAACTTTTCTTCCGGACTAAGAGAGACCAAACAGGCTTAATCATTTTCTTTTGTTTATTTCTCCACTGTTTCAACTGGCTTAATCTTTTATTTTTTATTTTTTATGATTTTGTCAAAAGGACCATGTCAAAAGAGGAAATATATATATAGATGAGTAAAAATTCAAGTAAAGACTTATAGAAATTAGAAGCATTTTGGTTAAACTAAAAAGTCTCAGTTAGTTTCGGTTGGCGAAAGCATTTGAGTTCTTTTGTTCTTAATAACCGGGTTTTCTTTTTCTAAATCCATTTGTGAAACATAAGAAATACCCGGTTTAACTTGATTCCCTTTATACATTTTATGTAAGAAAATACAATCAAACAAAAAGACTACCATATTTCATTTTTGTTCTTATTAACCGTAAGTATATCTACATGACTACATACATAGAATGTCAACGGGAAGATAAATAGAAAAGATGGTGTGTGTAGATATACTTACGGTTAGTACTTTTTGCGATGAAAAGATGGTGAAGTTTCGTGTCTTGTGTTGTTTCATCAGTTGCACCAAGATAAAGCCATCGTCTCCTCCGCCACAAGTGGTCGAAACAGGAACTGCAAACCCTCCTCCACAAGTGGCCAAAATCGACAAGAAAAAGCCTCCCTCGTCTTTGCCACAATGGGAGAAAACGTACATGCAAAAGCCACGACGAGTAGTGAGAAAGGAGGAAAGGGTTCAACTTCTTATGACAGTACTTGTGGAAATTATCATAATTATATCTCATGATTTTGATTTTCGTGTGTGACGTATTTATTTGTGCATTAATTTTTTAAGTTGTGATCTGATCTTCCAACTTATTATGATGTGGTCTTAATTAGAAAGTGAATGTATCTAGACATAAGTGTATGAATAAGCGATTGTGTAAATTCGAAACTTCAGGTTTGCATAAAGTTTTGTATATAATGATGGATGGTTGTAGCTATGATGTCACGTATCATCATCAGTCCTGATCACCATCCGTGCAATGATCACATCCCATAACTGACGTTCTGCTTTCTCTTTGGTTCTATCATTTCGATCCAAACCATCATCTTTCTCTGTTTTGTCTAGTTTTCTACTATGGCTCAAACTCAAAGTTACCCAATATATCTTCTCATAGATGTGGCGGTTGGGTGGCTGTTAAATGCTCACTTCCGTCTATATAAGATATTTAACTACGCTTATTTACATACAAGCCGTCTAATTCCAGTTTCGAGAAAATAATTGTCATATATGGCTGCTTGTTAATTGTTATAAGGGAAAATTGATTTTAAAAGATGTCTTTTTTTTTAAATTTGTCCATTTATGCCTTCTTTTTTTAAGTTTGGTATATTAGGTTTTATAATAGGAAAATGCTCAATTATATCCTTACTTAAATTATATGGAAATAAACATCAAACTTTTTGAAAAAAAAAAACATCAAATTAGCAAATTTTCTGTAAGAAAAAAAAGATATTCTTAAATCTAAAAAAATCAAAAACATATATTATTTTTCCTTTTAAAAAAAAACTCTTCTCATTTAATATTGTAAAAAGGTAAAAAAAACCAAAGATAGACTCGACGATGTCAAAATTTTCTGAAAAATAAAAACTTCATTTGTTCGTGATTATCAAACCTAAACTAGGAAGATTGTTTGAGACTATCTCTTTGATATTGTTAGTTTTTAATTTTTGGTCAAACTCAAGGACTGTATATACACCTAACGTTCACTCAAAATAAAAATATATGATTTCTAGATATTAGGGAATACAAAATATTTTGTTTCCTTTAATTTAGGATTCAATTTCCTTGTATAAGATAGTTCTAAAAATTCGTAGAATACATTTTCTAAAATATGAAGAACAAAGAGTAAAGTGTAGAATTGATGATCTAACTTTTGCAGAATATAGGGTAAAGTGTAGAAAATAAATTTTAAAATTTGTAGAATATAGAGTAACATGTAGAATACATATTCCAAATTTTGTAGAACACCAACCAAACCTGAGTTCTATTTTTTTTAGAAGATATATATATTCTAAAATTTTCAGAACAAGTGCAATGCGAAGAATTTGTAATCTACAATTTTTAGAACATGTAGAGTGTGCAGAATTCATAATCTAAAATATTTAGAATACAGAAGATGTATTCTAAATATTGCAGAATGATTTTTTCAATATCAAAATCAACATACTTTCATCCAAAACTCTTTTGTTTAACATTACATCTTATTAATCTTTAATTGTTGATATGTTTTAATTTAAAAATTAATTAAAAATTAATTTTATTTATTTAAAATGGTAATTTAGGTATAACTGACAATTTACCGCAGAAAGCCTAAAAGGACAAATTTTTAAAAAAACATCCTTTAAAATCAAAACCCCCTTGTTATAATTAACATATGTCACCTACGGTTTATATATATGGCTGCTTATCATAACAAAATACATGTTTATATCTTCAATATTTTCCATTACTATTATACTAACCTCTGTCATTAATGAGATATTATTTATACAATTCTTCCAACTTGGTTGTCCACCACAACTTTCCTTGGCTTAATCTTTCTATTATGGTAGGCTAAAAGGACAATTTCAAATACAAGATATAGATAACGATGCAATTTGGCTAATATTAAGTTTCATTTATTCTTATAAACCGGATTTGTTTTTCTTCATTTGTGGACCATAACGAAGACTCGGTCCAACTAATTAATTATATTGTATGTAGTTTGGTAGAACTAATGTTTTTTATTTATTTATTATTTGGGTTGAAGGAGTTTAGTAATTGTTATCGTGTATTTCAGTTAGTTGATTCCATTTGTTTATTTATAAGCAACTAAATAGTAGTAGGAAACAAACATATATATTGCCACATTTATTCGCAAGCAAATTGATAATTTCTTAGCAATTTCTTGTATCTTCTTAGAAGAATACATAAAAGCCATGTTGCTCATGTCGGCAGGTTTATCTACATACATAAAAAGTCAAAAGAACATACGTTGGGGCTATCTATCTATATATGTAACGTCGCTTTATCATATAGTATGAAATTTCTGGACGTTCATTTTCACAATAGTTTCACAATATCATATTTTTATTTTCCTGTAACAATGGTGATGTGTCGTTTCTTATGCTGTTTCATCAACTGCGCCAAGATTAAGCCGTCTTCTCCGCCACAAGTGGCCGAAACGGGGAAGAAAGTTCCACCGTCGCCTCTTCCACCCAAAGGGGCCGAAATGGCCAAGAGACAGCCGCCGCCAAAATTTAAGGGTATACCGGTTAAAGATGGAGGATATGTTGTTTCAAAGTCGAATAAGACCACCGCCAAGAGTACACGCCGTCGCTCACGCTATGGAAATGACGCCGGCGGTTTCGGAGGTTGCGGCGGTGGATGTGGCGGCGGCGGCGGCTGTTGATATGATTTATTATTTTCTTGTCTTGATGAGCGTAGTATAGTTTCTTTATTTTAATGTGTGTGATCTTTAAACTTGTATGTATATATAATGGATCATATATATATGTGGCTTTGACCCAAAAGAAAAAAAAAATTGAAATTTCTGGTTTGCACAAAGTTTTCTTCTATACATATTACGTAGATATATACTCAACTCATAAAGTTTGACGTGTATATATCATTATTTATGTATAAGCGAATATCATAAAAGAGAATAACATATACAGTAAAAAAAAAAAAGAGATAAACGATCAGGGTTGTTTTTGTCTGCGTAAATATCAAGTTTTCTTTCATAGATGTTAGAAATATCAAATAAGACAAGAAATATTTTTCTTCTTTTTATAGAAAATCAAAATTTCGATAAAGAATTAGAAAAATAAATTGGTCTTTGCTTTTTTGTTGCACACGTATCAGACATTAATATTAAATTAATAAAATTAACTGTAATGTGTTGTTTCAAGGACTTTCAACTATATATATATACAACAACCTATCTTATTATATAAACGAAGGCCGATAAAGAAAACATATATATAGCTAGTTCTCATTCTATTGATATATAATTTCAGTTAATCAAAAGGAAAATTCGCTTAACAATTCAGAAAAGAAAGAAAAAGTAAATAAGAAAATTATGTGTAGCATTTAGAAACAACTAGTTTAGGATATGTCATAACATAAGCTTGTATTATATAAACAAATACAGTATATGTGTTTTTCAACTTAAACCGTAATTTGGGACTGTACCTTATTTGCAAATATGAGGTCCAATTGAAAATCAATTGGAAATAAGTGGGGAGGCTCATGTACTATATATATTGCCCCAAAAATCATTCTTCTTTTCATGTGGAATTTTTACTCTAATATACCTTGTATAAAAGGACAATTTTGCATTATATAGTTATGTGTATTGTCAATTGTGTAATGCCTTTTTAACTATGCTAATCAAATCTCCCTTTCCTTACCCAATCTAACGTCATGCATCCCTTCGTGGTCGGGCATGACTTGTAAAAATATGTGACGAGAACTCATAAGCAAAGGCGACGTTTTCACATAGTAGCACCTGCATCTGTCCAATACAACTCCCTCGACTCTATAAAATACATAAATAGTCTATATGACGCCACTATATATATTCCAAAGAATTTCTAAAGATTGTACATCGTTTTGAATAAAATATGATGGGCTAGTCGCTAGTTTTAGATTACTTGTAGTCGTACGTACGTACAACTGAAACATCCCTTGCAATTTCTTGTATCTTTCAGAAATTACTAATTACGTGTCAGAAACTTGGAAAGCTTCATGTATGTGTGAACTTGAAAATGTTAGATTTTGCGATTCATGATATATAATTGTGATTATTGTAATGTTTCCGTGGAATTTTCAACTATATTATATTTTTTTGGATGTTGATAAAAACTATACTGTTAAATAAAGAATATTTTGACCGTGAATATCAAGAGGAGAAGTCTCACTTGTCCGCTACCAAAAGTCCAAAAGTGAAGTTTCTTGTGCAATTTCATTTCTCTTATCAGAAAAAATTAGTTGACCTCTCCTAAACTTATATTATATTTTTCAAAGTCAAAGGCAAATTGAGGCTATATAAAAAAGGTTCTACATATCACATATATAAAAAAGGTTCTACATATCGGGATTATCTTGCATTTGCTAGTATACGATCACGATGTGCCGAATACTATGTTGTTGCTTCTGCCGCAAGAAGAAGAAGCCGCGAGATGTAAAAAAGGGTAAAAAGGGAAAGAAAGATGGAGGCCTTGTTGTTTTAAAGCAGAAGCAGACTAAGTCTAAGAAGAAGCGTCACGATGAACCTGTAGATATAAAAGTAGACTCATGTTGCTGCTTTTGGGAAGGTGGTGGTGGTGGAGACGGCGGAGGTGGAGACGGTGGAGGTGGAGGCTGTGGTGGTGGCGGTGGTGGATGTGGAGGAGGTGGCGGAGGCGGCTAATATATGAGGTTTCTGCCGTTCTAAATATAATTCATGACGATCATTTCTTGTGTCATAAATTTATTTCTTTGAATTTTTTAAAGATTTTTGCCATTGTTTCACAGCGGCCAAATTATGTATTTCTTTATTTATATATACAATGTAAATAAATAAAAACACAAATAAATATATAATATGATGAATCCATCATATATGTTTGTTTTGATGGAACAGTAGTACTGTATATGATTTAGTTGAATTTATTCAGTTAGAAAATTAGAATAATAAGAATATTAAAATTAAAAGAAAAGCAGGCTATATTAAATTATGGATTCATTCTTTTTTTTTTTTTTGAATATATATATCATATTATAAAACTTGATACTATTTTTGTTTTAGATTTATCATAAGATTGATGTTTGAAAAAAGATTAATAGTGTTGTTAGATTAAAGACTACAAAATATCATACATTAGTTGTCTTTAAAATTTTCAAAGGACGCCTAATATTTTTTTAACTTCCATCTTAAACCAAATCAGCTTGTTAAGTCAGTGGTCAAATATATATGTTTCTATGATTCTACGACATAGCTTGGAAGAAGTCTCACAAGTCACAACTCACATTACCTATCGATAGACATCAATTTCCAGATAATCTTGAATTATGATTTAGAGATGATCGAAAACAACGTTTCAAAATAACACGCTTTGATCTTAAGACCAAATGTACATCATCCGTTGACTTATTTAAATCACCAAACCTAATCGTGTCCATGTCCACAAACCCGTAAAATAGTTTTTTTTGTTCTTAATTACAAAGAGATACCGATTTATATATAGGAAAGCAGATCAAGGTTATAATTAATAAATGTAACTATTTTAGTAACTAAATATGGGTTGCGTTCATATTAGTTACAAAACACATTTTCAAACCATACTATTATCAATAAATTTAAATATATTTAGTAATTATATATGGTTTGAGTTCAATATTACTCACAAAATACATTTTTCAAATTAATTAAGGGTTGATAGATGATCAGATATATATATAGCTGGTCGTCTGTCCCCATTTTTTTCTCGGAATTTTTTGAATATCTGAGTTCTGAGTTCTGAGATCTCACCTTCGTGTATTGATACTTGTTACTAATATTTAATTCTTTGGATTGCATGCGTACATATAATTAGTAACCATAATTGTGCAAATATGGAAAGAAAATGCGTTTAGTGAATTAATATCACCAATTAATATTGAGAATGATGTTTCGAATATTTCCCGCATGTCTGATGTGTCTACGAGGGAGTAGTCACTAGTCACGCGCTTTCGTATTGACAAAACGAGATTACACGACAAAGAGTAAATAGAATAAATATTCTTATGTATGAAGAAAGGCTCAAAAGCAAGTTGTAGTAACTTAATTAATGATTTTATTTTTTATTGAAAAGAAGAAAAAGTAATCAAGAAGATCGTGTCTTAGTTAATTTTTTGGCTAAAAACTTTGAAATGTCCGTTGCAATTTTGTGTATCTTTAAGAAATTACATAACCTTCTATAGATATATAAAAGGACTCTATATCCTCGCATCTTTTTGGTACTAATAGTTCAGTTTCACAAAAAAGTAAAAATATAATGGAGCCTTTTGTGAATGTAATTATTATATTATGTGCATGTGTTATTTTCGTGTTGATTGCCATATGCTGCTTCCCCCATAGGAAGAAAGAGCCCTTGTCGTCTCAGCATCGAGATTTGGAAATGGGTGTATCCGGAACAAAAGATGGAGGACTTGTTTTCATGTCAGGAAATAATACCACAACATCTGTAGCAGCTGCGGCTGTAACCACCGCAGCTTCTGACGGCCCTGGTTGTGGAGGCGGTAATGATGGTGGTGGAGGAGATGGCGGTAATGATGGCGGCGGAGGAGATGGCGGTGGATGTGGAGGTTGCGGCGGAGGCTAATTAAGGGTTTTGTATATTGTGGGATTTGATAATTCTGTGGAGGCTAAGGGTTTTGTATATTGTGAGATTTGATAATTGGTCTATGCATGCATCATGCATGTAAATATTACTGTAAGATTGAACTCTCGTGAGGACGGGAAATTGTATCATAAGGTGATGAAATGGTTGGTTTACAAATTAAATATGACTTTTTCTTATGAACTTTTGTTTCTAGAATGTTATATTATATTAGGCTTGCATAGTTGTGGTCCAGTGGTAAGGGGGAATTGGGGAAATGTTTGAAGGAACTAATCCAGATTCGATCTATCATGTAAACAAAAATCATGGTTGCGTGGAAAGTTTGTCAATTGAGTCAAGGCCCTGTTGGTGTACCTGCTAGTCAGAAATGTAGGCGGTCTGACTACCCTCTGGTATTAGTCGGAAAGGATTCCAAACTCGGAATAGATAGTGTGGTGGTCCTTCGAGAAGAAGTCCACTCTAAAACATTTTGGTGTGTTTCTACCAGGGCTGACCGGATCAGCGATAGGGTTTATAAAAAAAAAATGTTATATTATAATTTGGATGAAGATGCATATATGGACATACAAACGATATAAACGATGATAGTTGTAGATTTGTTTTTGTCTTCGATCGAAGCTAAGACAATAATTATCATTTTTAATGTAAATTATTTAAATTGTAGTGAACATCCAAATTATATTAACTAATTACTTAATATATATTCTTTAACTAAGAGTTACGTTGTTCGTTTCTCTCTTCCAGAAATCTCTCGAAAATGAAAATTTAGCTATCTTTCTCATATTGAAATATAGTTATAATTGGGTGTCTCCATGTACTTAAAAATTGAAAAACAAATAAGTCAAAGCATAATTAGGTTAACACAAGTAGCACCATGATCTATATACCTTTCTATAGATATGGTCCTCCGAGAATTAACATTAGTATAATTCAACTAAAAGAAAGAAAGTAAGATCGGTCGATGGGGAAAGTTAGGGATCATGATAATAATGTTTGTGGCAGTTCTCTCTTTCTAGCTAATACAGATCATTTGGCTAATTCACTTTCTCTATACCAAAACAAAGAAAGATGATCTCACCAACAACAACCTAATTGCGTGTCTTCGTTGAATGCTTACTAAAACCCTAATCTCTTTTGTGGACAAACAAATTATATATAGCTTGGTTCTTATTTGTATGTAATATATCATGCTACAGATATATATCATTAAAGTTAAGGAAGGGTATATTATAGCTGATGATTATTATGTTTTCGTTGAACTTCTCATACATACCGAATATCTACTGGAAATATGTATATTCAACAATTACTATATACTGTATTACTTATTGTGTGAATTTTGTTTTGTTAATTATATATATGAGAAAAGTTATCAGAGAATCTTCAAGAAAACTGCACACATTTACGTTGATGTAAGATAAATAATTAGACTTGTAATTGGTAATGGTTTCAGACCATATTAGTATATAACATTTCATTGATGAAATTATATCATTTCGAAGAAATTGCCACTTTTTCAAAGACACCATTCGCTGGAGTGTGTATTTAATATATCAACTAAGATTATAAAAAGTACTCGACTTGTACCGATTGACTGAGTTAATATATATATGATTGTGATCCAGATATGAATTGGTCACTTGATTACTGTCTTATATATGTATTTTCGAAATATATTAATATCCTTTGCAAAATTACGAGTATAAATATATATTTAAAATAAAAGTAAAATTCAATAAATTAAAGATAAATTCTCTTGGATGCCATTATTTTAGTTATTCTTCTAAAACTATCATACTTTGTAGTATTTTTTTCCAAACATACTACAAAATTTGTATTTTTCCAAAATACTATAAACATAAAAAGTTGATTTTTGAAGGTGTAGAATTATTTTTTAAAATGTATGGGTTGACTATTTAAATTTAGGGTATAGTTTTTAGGGGTAGGGTTTAGTGTTTGAGATTTCAAAATTACTTCTGAATGTTAAAAAAAGATAATTTTAGTTTTGTGGTTTTTTTGGAAAATAATGTATGTTAATGTTATTTTTGGAAAATAAAACTTATAATGGTATTTTTGGAAAATACATATTTTCATGGTATCTAAGACAATTCCCCTAAATTAAATAAAATTAAAATAACAATTGACCATCAAACAGAAGGAAAAAAAAACATAAGGAGTAGGTTCAATAATTTTAAAGTTAATAATTGCTTATCAATTTGGGTTTGAAATTTTGAATAAAAGCAGAATGTAACGCAGATACAACCTAACACAAATTAAATACACGATTCCGTTTGAAAATACAAATACAACCTAACAAATATTAAAGTCAATGGTCTTCATCTATATATATATATATATATGCATCTTGTTGTTAGCAGAATTGGCAAAAGTAGTCAGCAAAAAGAAGTCGTTGATCAAATTAAATGAGTCCTGTGGCGATTCTGTTCATAGCGTTTGGGACATTACTATTGTTCATGTTCATCCTATGGCTCATTCACTTTCTCTACCACAAAGCTAAGAAGGATGGCAAGGAAAGCATCGCTTGTCTCGGCAGCGGTTACGGTGGCGAGTTCGGCGGTTGACTTTAAACTTACCCGTGGCAACATGCCAACATGCATGCGATTTCAATTTTCATGTTTGTTGTGACTGTACATATTTTTTATCCATACAACAAGTACTTTGTTTCTGTTGATATATCATAAGACTGTCCATAGTCACGTACTTATAAATCTTCTATCATTCTATGCATGTGCTTCAATGCTTGTGTATTGATTTGGTAATTACACTATTTAAAAGTTTAAGTTGCTTCCTCCAAGTTGAAAGCCTCTTGGCTCTTGTGTTAGTTAACAGTTTACTTAAGAATATGAGGTTAGGACTGAGACAAGCACAATGGTCAAAATCACAATTCTCAACTAGCTTGGCATATTCTTTATTAAACCTAAATATACCCTTAAATATCATTAAAAGTATATAAATAAAAGTCAACGAAACAACTTCTAAATACAAAATCTCAAAAAATAGCTCACCTCCAAAAAAAGTCTTATTGTATATATTAGGGCCGTGTAAAAGAAAGTACTATACACATAATAACTAAAGAGAATGATAGATTATTGTTTCTCTCTTAAGAATCAAAATCATGATTTAGAAATCAAGTAAAATAAAAAACCAAAATGACTCCTTTGAAGATTGTGGACATAGTGATTGGGGTAATATTCTTGATCATATTTATATTATGTCTCTTCTACTTTCGTTACAGTAAGAGTAAGAACGACGGCGGCCGGAAAGAAAGCGGCGGATGCTGTTGAAGAGGCGCGGCGGCTACCACCGCACACGATTTGTCACTTTAACCGTTCCTTTTGAAGGATTTTTTTGTGATTTACATTTGTTTTTCTTCAGTTATGAAATAAAGTTGTAATTTGGTTATGTTGTGTGTGTGTGCGAGCTGTAGAGATGAGACAAACATATACATGAATCAATATAGTTGTTTTGTTTTGTTGCTTTCTCTCGATCGACATGTTGTAATCCAACAATGACGGTCGTCAAAATATCTTGAGTATATGTGGAGATATATAGAAGATACAAATGAGTTTCATTTAAAAAAAAAAAAAAGAGTTTCATTTTGTTTAATTGAAAATTTAATTTACCACGTCTTCTGAAAAAAAAACATTACACCTTTAAGACTAAACATTTTACACTAAATTAATGTTCGTATAAGAAAATACTTGTTTTATTTAACAGCATATTTTAATTTTACTATAGATTTCTAATCAAAGACATATATATTTTATACTACGTCATTATAAATTTTGTACATTAGAATATATATAATTTTTAGCTGTAAACCTATGCTAGCTAGCTGATATCTAACTTTGAAACTTCATAATTTCTAAATAATCTGAAATATAATAACATTATTATGATTTTTTCATTAACTTTTGATTATTCTATTTTTTCTACCAATAACATGCATTTAATTAGCTGAGTTGAACATGAATAATTAGCTATTCACGCTACTATAATGATATTTTATTTGTAAGCTCGATAAATAATAAAAGCTCTTATTAAATTAATTTCAAGTTATCAAATAACTGTAAAATTTTGAATGTTTGGAAAAAAAGAAAATAGAAAGATAATTAATACATATAGCATGATACACCTAACTAGAAAATCTTTATAATATAATAACTAACTTCCTCCGCCACCACCACCGCCACATCCACTAAAACCACCGCCGCCGTGATGTCCACCACCACTAAAACCACCGCCGCCGTGATGTCCACCACCACTAAAACCACCGCCGGAGTGATGGCCACCATTATGATGACCACCGTGATGATAGCCGGCGTGATGGTGTCGGTTATTGTCGGAGCCGGAGAGAGTAGGAAGAGACGCAGCGGCTGGATATAACATGAAGCCGCCATCGCTTGTTCGCACAGCTCCGGTCCTCTGGTTGTTGGCATTTTGTGAAGGCTCATCAGTGTTAGTCTCCTTCTCCCTCGAAGCAAGAAGACACGACACTGCGGTGTATAAAATTATGAAACCACCACAGCCTATTATGACATAAGTAGAAGTTTCCATTATCTCTCTTCTCTCTCTCTCTCTCTCCAATTTAAACAAAAAAAAAAACAAAAACTGTGAATCTTATAAAAACTTGTGAAAGCGTGTTATCTAGCATTTAATTTGTTTTGTGATTAGAAATCTCTCATAATTATTTAATTTCTGTTTAATTTCTATTAAATTTGGATTAGTCATTAGGATAAGAGAAACAAACACAGGGATTTATTATATTTTTTTTAAAATAAAAAATTGAGTTTGAACTTAGTTGATTTATTATTGACATTACACTTTTGTGTTATGCTCTTTCTAAATCTATTAGACCAAAACTTAAATCAATAAGAAAACATGAAAATACTTTTTATTGGTAAGGTGTGTTAAATTGATCCAATAAAACGAGAGATAAAATTCGTTTTTTTGTTGTTGTAAATAATATCATTAACTTTTGTAAAACCATGTTTATTATAGTGTATTAGACTTTGTTTGAAAATATTCAAAAATATATATTATAGCTATTCGAAACGATATAAACCAATATAAATAATAATTAAAAATCTCTACCCAAATGATATAGCATGTCATCACCAGCAATATTAAACTATATTTGCCAATATGCTTTTTTTTTAATTGTTCATCCATTGCTCCAATTAGTCCAATGAATTATTTTGATTAAAATTCTAGTCTACACTAAATTTAGTTACCTTTTTCCATAAAGCTCGACAAAGCAAGTATATTAACAATGGAGTTGGGACGAATTACAAAATACAAAAAAAAAAAATAAGAAGATAATTGCAATGGAAATATGTGGGATACTGGTATATGCAAAAGAAAATCATAATAATGGGATCAAGAAATAAACCTCTAATTATGGTATCCATGCAATTATTGAATTTTGATCAAATCAGTATGCTATGTTTCTCTAATAAAGTCGATTTCCCCAATTTAAAGAAGGCTGTCCAAGAAAGAAAATATCAGTTCATGCATACAGTACGTAGCAGCATGCATGGGTAAACTAACTTCGTCAATCGCCTCCTCCGCCACAGCCACCACCACATCCTCCGCCACAGCCACCACCACATCCTCCTCCATCGTGACCATGATGCCCACCACAACCACTAGCACCGTGATGGCCGGAGCCGGAGACAGTAGGGAGAGACGCAGCCGCTGGATATAGGACGAAGCCACCACCATCATGACTTGTTGTTACATCTCTATTGTTTGGCTTTGGCTTCTGCGCAGGCACATTATTAGTGACTGTCTTCTTCATCTTCTTCCCCAAACAACTAAACAACCATGGAACAGTAAAAAGAATAATAATTCCACCTAAGCTGGCTATGATCACAATCAAATAAGTTTCCATGATCTCTCTCTCTATCGAATACAAAACGAAGAATCGTATAAATAAACTTCAATAGTTCACGTTTTTGTTTTTTAATCAATAAAACTGGATTATCAGTTTCAACATTATCTTTAACTTTTGTACTAAATATATTACTCTTTAGATAATATATATCTTTTTTTTTGTTAAAGGTTCAGATTCAGATAATATAATTATGTTAGAAGCCAATAAGATTTGATATAATTTCATATCTATTATCTTTTTAAAATAGTGTCGATATCATAAAAAAATGTAATATAATAGACATTATATATCTACTATCACGAAAGTATATTGAGAAATGTTCGTGTTCGTAGGGAGCATTGGACCATGGTGTGGTGGAGACGTGCATGGAGTTGAGGTATAGCTAATTGGGTTCTGCATGGTTGAATCGCTGGCATATATTTAAATGGAGTTGTTAAGCCTTTGTGAAACATATGTGAGTGTGTCAAAGAGATTATGAAGTTGTATATTATAACTTTTTTTTTTTTTTTGATTGAAAGAGGGAAACCTTGGGATTATATGGGTTTGAATACGATTTTTAAGTGAACCACGTATATTATTTCGTTTATCATTGACTTTGCATTGAGTACTTTATACGTTTATAATGTTTCTTTGGTAAATAAACTTGGGATTATCTTTTGATATATCATGGGATTACAATTCAAAGCTAATTTGTTTAGTCTCTTATAAAAATTCAATTTACACACAAAAGGAGTACAAATAGACAAACATATATAGATTTTATGCATACATATATATATACAAACCAACCTTTAATTTAATAACAAACGAAGAAAATATAGTCATGCAGAAGAGAAGAAATTAATAGTAATAACATCATCCTAACACACAAATCCAATAGTTTCTTAACAAAATAAACAATCAAACACTATTTACATCTCAACATGATGAAGATCAACTAGCCGATGCTCCATCGCGCCTATCTTTGTTACAATAATCGATAAGCCATAGGATTAAGATTACCATTACAATGAGAAATGCTGCAACCCCGGTAAGTACGACCACCGCCATCGATTGATCTTTCTTCTTAAGACTAGATTTTGTTTATGATTTGATTTTCTTATAAGAGAGCACAATATCTAGAACATATATATATGGACAATGACTACTTGTGTTAAAATATGAACCTATCGGAAACTTGTATTCAAAACTTTTGCTTTTAAAATGCTTTGGTTCGATTGCATGTTTTGACATAATCATTTTAGCAGCTGCCAATTTTGTATTATGTAAATATATGTTTACAAGTCTGTTTGACCTTTTTAGTATATGTAAAAAAGTTGTGAAGAACATGATGGACATCTCAAGTTGCAGATTTGGTCTTATATTAATTAAACTCCATCTTGAAAAATAATTTAAGAATTACATGAACGATTCTTAAATACATAATTATCACGTTACATACTTTTCCACTTTGAAAATTAAATACTTGTTAAATGTTTTAAGTTAGTTTCTTAGCCGCAAGCTCGGCTAGATCGACCACGCTAGCTTCATCAAGCATTGAATAGATCAAGTTATTATATATATATATATGGCTTCCTCAAGTAAACTGGAATGTTAATTACTTTCAACATTTATCTTTACTTTTTCTTCAAACGAAAAAAATAAAAAAGTATCTTCACTTTCGTACTAGATATACATAGAAGTATTCAGATAACATTATGTGTAACATACTCGAAAGAGAAACTAAAAAGAGATTAAATAAATCCAGAAGAAGTTATATCAAACATAATCAAACTAAATTAAAAAAAAAAAAACTAAACTACCCAAATTTAATAGCAACATCATCTAGCTAGTAACTAGAAATCGTTATACATAACTACCTCCGCCGCTACGGCCACCACCACCGCCATGATATTGATGGCCACCATGAAGGCCAGAACTGGAGATGGTAGGGAGAGACGAAGCCGGTGGATGAATCATAAAGTCACCATTGCTTGTTACAGTCGTGCTGCTCTGGTTGTTGGCCTTTTCAGCAAGCTCATTACTAGCAGTCTCCATCTTCTCTGAACGATCACTTAATAATAAGTTTATACCAATCAAAACAATGAAACGCAGACAATAGAGTGACATAAGTTATCATGATCTCTCTCTCTCTCTATCAGCCTCTCTCTCTCTCTATCAGCCTCTCTCTCTGCAATAAGAAATAAGAATCCTATCAACTTTAAAATTAGCTTTTTCTTCATTTGTTTTCTTCATTTCTCGATTATAAATCAACTCCAAGAAGAAAACTCATACCTCAATAACAGAGCCTGGCACTGAGATGGATCAGAACCTCTTACACCACTTTACTGAGAAGAATAATATATATAGGCAAACCCATCCATTGTTAGATGCATATATGTGAGATATGCCAAAACTTAAATCGAAAACATTGGAACTGATTCATTGGAGGAGAAGGATTCAGGAGCTCACAGTTCATCTTTGGATAGTGGTCGGAGGAAAAACTTGAGAGAGACATGCGATTTTACAAGGTGTCCAAGTGCGCTTCTTGCTCTCTGTTGATGAAGTAAAAACCAATGTGCCTGCGTGCATGTTGCTTTACTGATAATTAACTGCTTCCATGGCTGACACAAATCAATTCCATTTCCTTTTCAATCATCTTTAGTGTAAAAGCTATCTCTTCAACATTCAGATAGGATTCATCTCCTGCAAGAAAATTATGTACTTGACCATTTAAGATGATCCAGCTAGACCCAGGATCCTTCTTTATTCTTCTCGATTTCTTGATGTTCATTATCCGATCACAGTCTCTGTTTCTCCCAACAACTGAATATAGCTGGGACAATACCACATAAGGTGTTGCGCTATCAGGCTCTAGTTCGATTAGTTTCTTTGCAGCAAGCTCTGCTAGATCGACATGTAAATAAGTTTTGCTGGCAGCAAGCAAGCTGCCCCAAACCCCAGAATGAGGCTCACAGGGCATTGAAGAGATCAAGTTATATGCTTCATCAAGTAGTCCACTTCTCCCAAGGAGATCAACCATGCATGCGTAATGATCAGGTCCTGGTTCAATGCCGTACGAGAATTTCATTGATTTGAAGTATTTCCATCCTAAGTCTACGTATCCAACGTGAACACAAGCAGATAATATAGCAAGAAAGGTAACACCATTTGGCTCTTTTTCTGTACTTTCCAATATGGAAAACAACTTTAGAGCTTCCTTCCCGAAACCGTTATAGGAAAATCCGCTGATCATCGTGTTATAAGAAACAATATTAGGCTCATTGATGCATAAGAAGATCTTGTAAGCATCATTCGTGTTCCCGCATTTGCAATACATCGATACCAAAGAATTTTGAACTGACAAGTCATTCCCCATGTTCATCTTCACAACTCTACCGTGGATCTGTAGTCCTTCAATTAAATCAGCCAAACTAGCTGTTGCGCTGAGGACACTACTAAAAGTGTAGGAATTTGGACGAACCTCTTTCTGGAGCATCTTAAGAAACCAGCAAAGCGCCTCCTCATAATATCCATTGCTCACAAAAGCAGATATCATAGCAGTCCAAGTTACACCGTCCTTCTCAGGCATCATTCTAAACAACTCTACACATTTAGAGATTTCTCCTTTTCTAGAAAATCCCTTAATCATATCTGTCCAGGATACCAAATCTTTATCCGG